CATCAATCAAGTGTCCACATTGAATAATAACATCACATCAATCAAGTGTCCACATTGAAAAATAACATCACATCAATCAAATGTCCACGTTCAATAATAACATCACATCAATCAAGTGTCCACATTTTGAATAATAACATCACATCGATCAAGTGTCCACATTGAATAGTGACACCACAGAAATCAAATGTCCACATTGAAAAATGAAATCACAGAACTCAAGTGTCCACATTGAACAATGACATCACATCAATCAAGTGTCATACAGGGTACGTGACAGGAATGTCGCCGTCCGCCATGAGGATGCGGCAAAGGTGGTGTCGATACATGAATCGCATGATCGCATCCGGGGGTGCCGACTCCATTTGCCGCTTCGCGTGGTAGTACATGCACTCGGCATCGTTTGTATGGGACGCCTGGACATCCATTTCGTACATGGCTTGCATGGACGCGATGGCGGGAAACCCATGAGATGCAAACATCCGGTCGGTGTTGTGGTACATTTGCTGCAGGATCCAGTCTTTCCCCAGTTGGCGCGATGTCGGGTCCTTTAACAGCGTTACGTTGCGCCAAGTCTGAACCGCGGCGTCCGGCGACCTCTACAAGTGGACGTTGTTGGTACAGGTAGGTAGGTGTAGGAAGGGAGTGGCGAGTGAGGTGCTACCGGAATGGCCGCCAAGTGGGCAACGACCCACTGCTGCATTACACGCGATTGCGTTTCCACGGACCGAAGCTTCCGTCGCAGTTGGTGCGCTTCCGTTTCGGACTTGGACCGTTCGGTCTGCAGCGCGTCAGCCACTTCGTGCCACGGCATCATGGTTGGGAACGACCGCCGCGCGTACTCGGCCTCCAGTGCCGTGACTTGTTCCCTTAGCAAAAGGGTCGCGTCCTTGACCTTGACTCGGTAGCCCTGCATGAACTGCCGCAAGTACGCTCGCTTCCTCGCCTTTCGCGCCTGTACCTTGTCCGCCTTTGTCGTGTCCATGGCGAATGACGTTACTATTACATTGTATTAATCGCGGATTCATATCCGGATACCAGATTGGCGATTCTAAGAATCAAATAGCCAATCAAATGATGCCGCTATCTGATTTTTGGAAGGTCAAATGTTTGTTGACATACTTATTATTATGTACCTAGTAAGTACTACAGGGGGTGACGGATTTTAATATTATAGCCAATAAGATTTGAATTTGTGAAAGTCATTATGTGATTGGCTAAAGATTGAGATTTGCATCGAAGTTCGAAGCTATTCAACCAATCATTTCCGATCAATTGGCAAATTCGAAGTAGCAAGTGTCCCTTAAAATCCATCGCCCAATAGTAATTTTGCGCGACATGAGAGTGACGAGCAAGTCATGACGTCCGATGAAGCATGGCGAAGCTTGGTTAACAAGTGCACCCATGACGTGCCCACGTGGGTAACGTTAGCATTGTTGTTAAAATCCACTTTGAAAGAAAATAGATTCTACGTAGTATTAATAACAGTTAATAGGTTTAATTGTTTTTACTTATAAACCAGTCAAACGTTCATTCACAGTGTTATATATTCCAGGATTACCTGTAAACTCTTGTTCGGAGTTTGTAACGACCCGTAAGCCCAGTACTGCCTTGAAATTTGTGATTCGATTGCATTGAATTCATCATGTTCGTTCATGTGACGGCATCGATGTGGAATCGTGTGCCGGGGTGGCGACGGGACACCACTGCACTTCGCGGCATCTTCGCGTGATGGCGTCCGATGAACTGGACTGACCAATCCACGCTCGAATCCAACTGACCAATCACATGTGAGTATCATATCTATTCGAGCATGTCATGGTGAATTGAGTTTGGATTATCATTTAAGTACTTATAAGACATTCCTCCGCGAGGGCCGATACTAGAACTACCGGTATATGTTGTGGAACCGCTTCGCCAATTGTAACGCGCCTGCTCGACCAGGGTGTGTAAGCTTCGGTTTTTACTTCGCTCAACGCTTCATACAGTACCTCGTCCTTCGACCGATCTTCTTCGAAGTTCGGTCCTCGTCTCCATTGTTGTCCGGATTCCCCAGGGGAGGGACGGATAAATCCTTGCGGAAATAATCCGGGGATCGAACCCTCGACCTTTGAGTTAAGAAACCGATGCTCTACCACTGAGCATGTCATGGGTTATCTGTCACAATAATGTTTTACTACCGTAACGTTACCGGTACTGTAACGTTACTTCGAAGTACTGTACAAGTATTTCTGTATTAATAACATTACCTATTAATAGCATCAAATCAATCGACAGTCCATCGTATGTGGCTTAGCCGCCTGCAAATATCGTGCTGACGTCAGGCGTACTGTACTACAGGGGTGACTGCTGAAGTTCAACCCAGTCCAATTTCCAAGTG